TGCCAAGCGACTTGATGCATTTTGGGAATTGTTCTATCATATCCCTGATCCATGTTCCTGGCAGATGGAGTCCTTCTAGACACACATGGCACACCTTTGTTTTAATTTCTCATCCTAGTGAATCAAAATTTTCTTCAATTCTTTCCTTTGTATTCTTTTATATTCATCTGAATGCACCTGCTCCGCCCCAATGCTAAATAAATGTAGATTAGTTTTTATTGTTATTCATTTCAGCTGACATCCTTTTCATTTAGAGGTAGAGTACTATCAATATTTCATCTTGTCAAAATTAGTATTAATCTCCAAACCACATTTCTCTTCTCTACACAAGAATGGTGGTGTCATATTCAAAGGTCATTAAATGTAAGGAATCAGCTAAAGTTGTCTCTGTCTTTCATGTTCGTGATGAATTTTTCAGTGCATCTCTAAAAATGAAGTCTGTTGCTCAAATGTGAGTATAATTCTGCCATATACTTTGAAAGTCTTTAATGTGGAAGGCGTATTTGCCTTTTAGCTTCCTAGTTATGGACAATCAGCAATGTATATTGGAGGTAGAGGCATACGTGCAAGGAAATAGTTCTTACAGAAAGGATTTTAAGTCATCACAAATAAATCAGCAATACATTGCTAGTTGAATGGCAATATATCATATTAAGAATGTCTGCAACAGAATCCCCTCTTATTGCAATGTCAATTATTCTTATTTGAAATCTTCAAGTTCATTGTGTGATGGAAGAAATATATGACCTGAAAGAGCAATTTCAATTTCTTGAATGGATGAGGGTTTCATGCTTTGTTTTGTTGATGTGCATGCCATTTCTGAATTTAACATAATTGCCACTTTTTATGAAATCTAAGAATCTTAATGATGCTGTTGGATCTCCTTCCTTTTCTCATGCTCCTTCAGCAACTATGACTTGTCAAAACATTTTATGGACAGCTGCACTCCCTTTAATCCAATTTCATATCAGGAGGAACTGCAGCAAAAAGTCCTTGTAACAACATCAAAATGTCTTCCTTTAGTCTTTCAGTAATAGTTTGGGTTGTTTTTAATTGCTGCATTTTCCCCATGCACCACCAACATATCAATATCGTATGTTGATGAAAAATTGAAGAATGTTCTGCATTGTTTGAAAGAAATATTCCAACTGTTTTCTAGCAGCAAGGATTTCTGCATCAGTTGAAGATCAGGAAATGTATTTTAATGGGCATGCTTTTGTGATTTCTTTTCACAGTTATTTAAGCATTCTTGGAAGTCTTGTTTTAGTTCACAGATTAAAATGATTACACCAAACTGTTGCTAATACTGTGTAGAATCTCTTTCCTTCATTGAATACCTAACTGTATGGAGAACATGTTTGTCCTTGACAAAAATGTAGCCATTTGTTTGGTTTCTCCAGCTCGGATTAGCATTCTAACAGGTACTGTAATCTATAGATCCACTGTTAAATATGACAAAAGCTTCTTAACCAAACCCCCCCCCCCCCGAATGTCTTTTTATACAGTGCAACAGAACCTTGATTGCTTTAAAAGTTATTTGTCACAAGAGTTAAGCCATCTCATTTTTCTGGATGATTTAAAACAACATTTTTTTAAAGGCAAAAATCACATAGCAGAAAGAAAATACAGACTAGGGTATGACAAAAGAGATTAGGCATAAAATTATTTACGGAACATAAGATGCAGTACAACATATATTATTGGAAGAATGGTATGTAGATTGACAGTGCAAAGTCTAATTCATGATGATACAGTCATCAACTTAGCCTGTTGTCCCTCCATGTAATGCAGATTCTGTATAGTTAACTTAGAGACAAAGCAAATCTTCCTCTATTTAATGTATGCTGGTCAATTAGAACAGGTTTTAGGCTAACAAAATATCTTGAGTATATGTCATGTTGATTTTCATACTCAACTATTGACCTGATTTGAAGAATAGTATACCTTACAAGAATTCCATCTTGGAAAGCCAAAGGCTTAATAATGTAATTGTGTATGAGTTGCACATATTTGTAATCCTATAGAATGCATCATAAACTCATTTGTGAATTTGCTGGGGAAAAATACTAGTAATTCTTTATTTTATATTTATTTTTAAGTATTGTTTAGTTTCAGGATGTAAACAGATAAAGCTTTGGAAATGTTATCATTTGTTTCATTATACAGTTAGTCCTCAATTTACGACCACAATGAGCCCAAAATTTTTGTTGTTAAGTGAGAAATTTGTTAAGTGAGTTTTGCCCCATTTTACTACTTTTCTTGCCACATTTTTAAGTGAATCCCTACAGTTGTTAAATTAGTAACATGGTTGTTAAGTGAATCTGGCTTCCCCATTGACTTGGCTTGTCAGGTCACAAAAGGGATCACATGATTCTTGTGACACTGCAATGGTCATAAATAGGAGTCAGTTATCAAACATCCAAATGTAAATCATGTGACCATGGGAATGATACAAGTCTTAGGTGTGAAAAATGGTCATGTCTCTTTTTACAGTGCCATTGTAACTTTGAACAGTCGCTAAATGAACTGTTGTAAGTTAAGGACTACCTGTATACAAAAACCTATATTGTAGCATGACCCACATTTTATGGATTGGCATGTGTTCATGAGGGTGGTGTTATAAAAGGCTGTCTGGTAGAAGTTTGCCGATCTGCTCATACTCCCTTTTTTTACATTCCAACTATATCTTCTTTATGAACAAATACAAATTGTCGTCAATAATGATTGTCTTACAATGGAATAGTATAAGGACAAAATTCTTATGGCAGGTAATGCATTTATGGGGATTTAAATCCAGGTACATGTTTAGTTCCCCCAAACACATTAGAGAGAAAAACAATTACTTTGTAACACAGCATATACTTTCTATATAGCGTATACCAGATTAAATTCTTTAATATTTCTAGGTTTGTCTTAAAGATGTCTGCTTGGATTGGCACAGCTACAAAAATATGAAATAATTCAATGGTTTGGCCTTGATTCACTATGGCATTACATGTTATTGGAGAATATGGCTTTAGGTTAAATAATTAGCAAATCAGAATCTCTTTACAGCATTAATACCTTGAAACAGTTCACTAAGTACAAGAAAGAACACAGAGCATTGAAGAAGGGTCAGCATTGAGTTCTGTGGAAGACTCTTCCCTCCCTGACTTAGGAATGAGCAAATGGACATTACAGAGGAGTTGTCATTTTCAGTGGGAGGATTATGAGCACTCCCATATTCACTTTATCCACCCTCTCCTTTGAATGATATTGCTTACAGTTTACTCATCTCTAGTCATTTACATGCCACTTGGGAAAGGTGTGGAGAACTAAAGTGAGGAGAAAGGTGAGGCGGCAAAGAGAGTTTCTTTCTGTTTCCATCTAATGATTGTCCAGATATTTGCAGCCCAGATATACTAGCTGCAACTCTGAATAAGTCCATACATCTTCAATGCACAGCCAGGTGGTACAGTAGAGATGACTAGAGTCTATTAAATGAATCGACTTCTATTGAATAAGAAATAAATTTAATCCCTCCCCACATTCCCCTTGACACTAGTTGTCAAGAGTGTTAATAATATACAAAATATATTTTTCAGGAAGACATTGCTCATTTATGCAAGGCATGAAGCAAGCCCTTTCCAAAATGCTTTTGGGAGAGAAATACGTGGCTTAAATTCAGGGTAAAATTTCACCCAATCTATGTTTATTTTGTTCATTCTTTTCCCATTCCTTCCGTTGCACTTGTAGTTCTAAGCAGAGACTTTACTCGTAGAACAGGTAGTATCATTTTGCTATGGTTTAATTCTAAAGTCATGCAGTAAGAGACACATTTACTGCTTTCATCTATAATTCTCAACAGCCACAAAGCTTTGTTTTATCATAGCTATTCTATCAGATATTTAATAGTAATGCTTTATAAAGAACAATTTCTCAAGCAGCCTCATCTCTTGCATTTGCTATCTCTCACTAAAACATGTATGTTTTCTCAATTTCTTACGGCAAAAGACATAGTCAACCTATACATTTGCCAAAGGAGATTTGATTTGAAATACTTATCATCTGGAACACATTTCAAAGGAAAATCTTGCATCACATCACATTGAGCCGCCTCAATGGTGCTTACATTGCTATGTATCCAACGTGATCCAGGGACAAAATGATTCCCATGCTGTATCTATGGAATGCGATCTATCATTAGAGCTGACAGGTTGGCCTGATTAGTATGCTGTGCCTAATGTTGGTACAGAGTATGTGTAGGAAGCAAAAGGACAGCACTGCAGTAATTATAGGTAGCACTGCAGTGTTTCAACCCTGGGATGCTTGACGGAATTCAAGGAGAGTCTGCTGTGACTCTCATTACTTGTGGTTCTGAGGGGCACTCTATTCATAAAGGAGAGCATAGTCTAATGCCACCTTTGTAGGAGCTAACTTTCTTTAAATCGTTTCTTTCACATACTGTACATACAGAACTTCTATTTTAGGAGGGGATATATTGGCTATCAAAGGTATCTAAAAAATAAGGAAGTACTTGGCTTCAGATGGAATGAATATCTACTTCTCAATTGCATAGGTTTTATTTGGGCCAACTTTTAAAACATATGATCGCTATTATGGCCATACCTATGTTTTCCTGTAACTGTTTCATTTCTTCCTTTTTTGAAACTATGTGGCCTGCTAAAATCAGTAACTTAGGACAATCTTAATAATTTCATTTGTAAGAGAATATATATATATATATAAAAGTCACAACCCCTGGTATGCCCAAATATGGGAGGAAGGTCACACTTCCATTCTCTGTCCTTCGGCTCGTCACAAGAGACCATCCAGACAGAAACCCAATATTGCCCATATTTGGGCATACCAGGGATTGTGACTTTAAATATATACCTTTCACCCTGGCCTGGCTGATAAGGAGTCGAGCTCTGTAGCTCAATGGTTAACACATCTGCCTAAGAGGCAATAGAGCACAGGTTCGAATCCCAGTAAGGATATGGCTAGCTGATGAGAGCTAAATAGCTTGAAATAGATCTATCCTAGTCTTCCTTTATTTATTTATCAGCACAAACATAACATATATATATCTCAACTGCTAATTCCCCTCAGTGAAGTCATAGGATTAAAAGGAGAAACTTTTTGGAGGAATTTTTACCCCCTCTCTCACGTCTTTTCTTTTTTGAATGGTTATTACTTTAACGTTCACCTCCATGGATCATATATGCTCCTTCCTTGGGCTTCCTTTGTCTTGCTTCGCAGGGGCCAGCACAAGCAGTGGAGATCTTTACTTTCCTTGCAGCTCCGTGTAACATTTTTTTTTCAGTACTAAAAAACCCACCTATTTTTATTTGACTTTCAGACTGCTGTCACATGGTCAGGATTTTCTTGAATTTCAATACATTCAATTTCTTCTCGCTCCTTTCGTTTGGCTCGTTTCTTTTTCTTGTGGTGTTTTTTGGACGGTGGGAAGAACGTTAGGAAGACAGGTAAAATAACAAAACAGTGCAGAAGTGTGCAACTGCCAGTGAGCAGCAAGCATTTGAACAGTGTGAAGGTCAAGTTTGAAGGCACAAAAAGGAGGGGGACCAACCCAATAAGAAAAGATGTAACATTTTGCAAAATTGCTGTTCCGTGTTCTTGGAGTGAACTTTTTATACACTGAGTTCTGGTATGCTCAGTTGCTAGTACAAATGTGTAAAGCAGGGGTGCACAGTGATCTATGGAAAAATTCAAAGTGTAAATAAGGCACAATATAGAAATGCAATCCATGTCTACATTCCATAAAGTCATCAAGCCCAGGACACCCAACTCTATTGAGGTGACAGTGAGAATTAACCAGAAATTCCCCAGAGGGTGAATAACAAGGAAGAATGTAAGTAGCAAGACCAGCAAGATGCCAAAACTTGAGATCAAGACGGGCATAATTACTGAGAGGCTGTACTGGTCCATGAAGACAAAAGTAGGGTTAAAGACAATGAACTTGATGCTCTGTTTCAGGGACAATGGTCTGAGTTTCTCCAATAATTCTATAACATCGCTTTGTGTTTTTTCACTAGTCCTAGCTACAAGATACATACGGGAAGCAATAATGTTATTTCCATTCCCAGTCTTGGAGAAAATGATATCATTTTTAAAGTGTTGAAACTCAGACTTTCTTAAAAAGGAGTTTTGGAGGATGCTAAGGAAGTCACTTTTATTGGTTGTGGAGATATTCCCAGCTCTCAAATACTGGTAATATTGTTGAAGCCAGGACAGTGTGTTGAAGCCTTCAGTCAGTTTCTTTAGGTCATCTTGGACAGTGCCATTCCAGTACTCAAGTGGTTCATAGATATAAAATCCTATCACTGGACTATAATTGCTGAAGTACTTCTGTTGAATAACAGCATAGGACACACTCGGAGAATCACTAGAAAGCAAATTGATAACATTGACCCCATCACTGATTTGCAGGCAGCCCATAAAAGAGAAAGAAGCATAAATGAGATACAGTATCACCACAAATGGCTTAACATAGATATTAGTGATCCATTCATTGTAATGCTCCCTTACAAAATGCTGGATAAAGTGGTTCTGGTATGGGTCAGTCAGATGAGAAGACTGCTGATGCCCATCACTCATCATGGTTTGGAACCAAACAGGTTTCCTTTCCAGATACTCTGCGGAGGGGATTTTACAGCAGAAGATACTATGGTAACGATTCTGCTCCAGCTGCCCAGCAAACACCAGACAGGAGCCAAAGAATGAGAAGATGTAGAAGTAGTTCAACAGGATGGAGATGCACATGTTCTGGCAGAAAACTTTCACAGCCTCGATGTTGGTGAAAGGACTGGCACCCATGCCAAAGGCTATGAAGTACAAGGAGCTTGTCATGGTGTAGGAAACCATTACATCTGAATAGGCATCAGCAACCCTGTCTTTAAATGGCAAATTTTCTCTGGTTCGACGCCATCCCGACAGAAGCTCAAATACTCCTTTGGTTCCATGACCTAAACAAGGACAATGAGGAAATACATTAATTTGTTTTTACTGAGCATCACATTTTCTTTTTTAATTCTATTTAACAGAATAACTGAGTTGTAAGTGACCTTGGAGGTCTTCTAATCCAGCCCCCTGTACCATTTCAAATATATAAATGTTCAATTTATAGCATAACTTTTAACTTTTTATTAATCTTTAAATTAAATTGTTAACTTTTAACAATTTAGAACTGATTACTGTATAGAATAAATTAAATAGGTGGCATAGATAGTAATTAGTTATATTTAATCCACTGTTAATCCCCTCCACCATACACACATCTCATTTTATTGTCAAAAGTTTGGTCAACAGAAACTAAAAATCAATACTTTAGCTGCCAACATAAAACAATATTGATGTCCTTATCCTCTTATTAGTGCTTTGTGGTCCAGTCCTTTAAGCAGGATTCTACTAAGGTCCATGGTCCCTGTTGCTTCCTGCCATCAGATGAAAATCTCTATCTTCTCTTTGAGGCAAATGAATGAGCTGATAAACTAGGGGTGTAGAACTGCAGCCTTTCTGATAGTGCCAAATTTCAGCTCCCAAAAGCCTTCACTTCCAGTCAGCCAAACTGGCTGGGGCTGGGAAGAGCTACTAGTCAGCAACTTCCCAAGAGCTCCCAGTCCCTTGGAATATGGAAGTGTATGGCTTGTAAAGTTGTTTGTGACATTGATGAAATTTAAAGGATTTGGGCATGTAGGAATCTACATGTCAGAGTTCTGGCACCTCTAATGGTCATACCAGAAAGGATTTTATGTCATTGTTCTTCATGAGAACTATAGAATAAAATTTCCAACTGGGTCTGTTGAAAATAGATCATCATTATATCTTCCCATCTGAGTAAACAGTGGGAGGAGCAAGGGAAAAAGGACAAGAAGCTTTGTATGACTTGTCCTCCTTTTTCTGTCTATGTCAGGAAAACACAACCTGTAGCAACAGGAGGAGATGCCAATCAGTGAATGCAAAACATATAAGAAACTTTAATTCGCCTTCAGTATCTTATATATGAAGCTTGACCAATCCTGCAAGCACTCTCACTATTATTTTTAGCATAATAGTTGTGCACAATTATTTTCAATGAACCACAAACATATGCACTAGTGAAAGGAAGGGCACTGCTTGTTTTAAATCAACAGCAGTTTTCCCATTGATTTCAATGGAAGCTAAACAAAATAGGCAGCACAATATAGTTACATCTTCCTAGTTGTTAGTTGTTTGTTTGTTAAATGGTGTGTTAATTGTTCTTTGGGAAGTAGATTAATTTATAACTTTTTAAAACAAGGTTATTAGGCACAGCTGGATGGGGCAAAAAAAGCTGGAAAGTAAAATGAGCTTATTTTGATTGTCCAAGAAAAGAATAAAAATAAATTATCTAAATAAGTGCAAAGTTAATTAATCAGAAAAGTAATAGATTTCTTGGTTTAGAAAACGTAATATCAATTAAGTATCATTCATCACAAACTTGTTAAAAGGTTTGGGCAAGGTTATAAAAAAACTCAGTATGCTGAAACTTAGCTGCTGCATTGCAACACTTAAAAAATTAAACTGAAGATACTGAAGATTAAGCACTAAGAATAGCCAATTTTCATTCAAGGATTCTCAAGTATAAGTATAAAAAGTATATAAGTATAAAAACAGATGACTAAAGATATTTGAAGATATTATTGTGGACGTGATGAAAGTGTCTCAGGATTCTTTCTCTCATACACTAGTTCAGTGGTGCACTGGGATTCAGCCAGTTTGCACCACTTAGGGTGAATCGCTTGTTATCTCACCACTGCACTAGTTGTAATATAAACATCACTGTACATACATAATTCATATAAATATACACATATCAAACATGAAATAGTAAATGTTATCATGGAATACATTTCTATAAATGCTAAACCAGAACTATACACCAATAGCTTGCTTAATAGAAACAGACATAATATTTCATCTTTGAAACCAATCCTGACAAAGAAATTTGGATTGATGTTTTAGCCTATCCATAAAAAAATAACTAACAGTGGGCAAGGCAGGATTAATATGCAGAAATGTTAAGAAGAATGTACATTTTGTCAGAATGACTTTACTTAGTAAAGTGTTAACATTAATACCCAACAACTAACTCAGCTGCAATTTATATCACAGTGGGTTTCTTGTATGTCATTATTCCCATGAGTGTCCCTGAATTATGCTGACAGGTTACCCTATCAGTAGCCCAACAGTTTAGAATATTCTTTAATCAAGTTGAAAAAAAGCAAAGATGTTGCCCCCCCACAATTCCCTATATATTGTTGATAGGCTACTTAAAGGTAAAAAGAAGAAATGTCCACTCTTTCTCTAAAAGGGGGTGGGGGGACCCATTCATCCCTGGCTCTGACATCCAGGCCACAGTGTTTCATAAGGGTAGATGAAATAGACTGTCTGGCTTCTTTGGAGATGTCCTGAAGAGGAAGGTCTCTAAATCAGGCAGTGGCTTTAATAGAGTGCCCTTTAATGTAAGTTGGTACTGAGAAGGTAGCAAGCCTTAACTGGTAACACCAAAAACATTCACAGACCACTGGGAGAAACAAAGCCCATTGTTTCTCACAGTGACAAACGTATAACTGATCAGACCTGGGAAGAAACATATTCCTTTTAACATTATAAGTCAGCAGGGCAGAATGGATTTCAGAAACACTGCCAGAACAACGTCTTGAGGTGTACTGAAAATAGAAACAAACTAGGGAACAAGGGAGGCATTCTTTTTAAACCAGAACTGATGTAGTGGATCCATCAATGAGTACAATGATTATGGGCTGCTTAGTGGACAGATGTAGTTGACACAAAGTACAAAGTCTTTCAAGTGAGAAGATCAAGAGTACAAGTAGCCATACTGCAGATTCAGACAGTTTAGCACACAGTTGGGAAAGCACTCCCAAAAGGCTCCAAGAAGGAACCAAACCGCAGAGGTCAATATTTGATTTTTTTAAGAGTGAGGCTATACCACTCTGTAAAACTACCCCTCCCACCCCATACAAACACATCATCCTAATTTAACTCCTACATCACTTTAGCTTTTCTATGCATCTAATGAAATGAAATGTAGTTCACTAAAGCTGATGCCTTTTAATATATTTGTTAGTGAGAAAAAATGCTACCCTATATTAGCACAGCTCTCCTCTTACACCGTCTATATCATTCTGGTGAGCCAAGAGTATCTGGAACACCATGTAGAGTCTAGTCTATAGTCTTAGACTATTAGATTCTTTAGTATCAGCTGGCTGAAGGAAGCTAAAGATCTGGAATAGTTCTGCATGATCAACAATCTGTTTTTTCATGGAGAATCTGAATAATGCAATCAAATGTATGGTGATTATATAACAGGATATTTTGATTTTCTAGTAATGATTCTTCCAGATGAAGCAGGACACATACTTGCCATCTAAATCTTTCCACGGACCTCCCCACCATAAACTTCAACCCAGATTAATAGCCCAATTTAAGAGCTAGATCTCATTCCTACTATAAGCTTGTCACTGCTTTTTGAAGTACTTTTGACTCTAATTTTGACTCCAAGAGAGGTTTTCTCTCTCTTCAGTAACCAGCTTTGCTGACCCTATCGTAGATCAAATTACCATGGGTCAATCTCCACATGGAAACTTCTTATCTAGGATTACCAGATTTTTAAACTAGTCCTCAACTTACAACCACAATTGGGACCAAATTTCCTTTGCTATGCCAGGTGGTTGTTAAGTGAGTTGCATCAAATTTTATGAACTTTTTGCCAACTTTCAAGCAATCTCTGCTGCTGTTAATGAAATGTGATCATTAGGTGAATCCAGCTTCCCTCATTGAGTTTGCTTGGAAGCCAGCTGGGAAGGTTGCAAATAGTGATCACATGACCCTGAAACACTGCACCATCTTAAATACATGCTGGTTACCAAGCACTAAATTTTAATCATGTGAACGGGGATACTGCAACAGACATAAGTGAGAGGACCAGTTGTAAGGCACTTTTTTCAGTGCCATTGCAACTTTGAACAGTAACTAAATGAAAGGTAACTAAAGTCAAGGACTACCTGTCCTGGAATAGGTAGTTTATTTGTTATGAAATCAATGACCTATTCAGTGACTTTTGGAAGAGAGGATTCCTCAGCATGAGATGTTGTAGGTGTGTTGCAGTCAGCTTTCCTACTACTAAAACAGAGAGTTCTATAGAGAATCCATTCTTATGACATTTACAGTCCTATCTCCAGCCAACTTTGTCTTCACTTTCTACAATACAGATGCAAGTAGAGAGCAGGAATAGATGATATATAAAGCCAAGGACTTTTGTTCCACTGCAGGAACTGGTTATATTTGGAAATCAGGCCAAAATTTCTGGTGTAAGGACAGGCATCATCTCACACTGGACTTACTGTGCTTCCTGAGAGCCAACCAAACATTTGGATTTGAGTCAAGTTTGAAATTGATTAGCATCAGAGCTTTACATAAACTTGAAGTGAGAAATCTCAGATCTCTGGTAGTCATGTAAGGACCTGCGTTTAAGAGAGTATAAAGGTGAAAGGAGAAGCAATTCCACTAAATCTATGGCATGAAATGCTGGCAATGAGTTAGCATCTTGACCTTCTCTGAAGCAAGATCTTTATTCCAGAACTATGCCATGATATTTTATTACAACAAAGGGCTCCAAGAGAAACAAGAAGAGAAAAATATGCCGTTACTAACTTAATTGTAGATATAAAGAAGAAATGCAGACATAATAACAACGAGGAAACAAAAAATGGATAATCACAAATAACACTTTTTGTGAAATTATTATCATGGCAGAGTCATAGCAACTGAAAGATTCTTTATAAACTGCTACAAAATTCTAAAATACTGGTCTCCATACTGCTCTGGTATAGAGGCTGTACAAAACAATTTTAAATTTGGTTTAATAAAATATAAATGCATTTCTCTTGTGTGCAAGGCTTCATTGTTGCCATTCACAATGTTTTCCATTGTTTTATAGCTTAATTTAAAATGGGTATTAGCTATAACTTTTTAAACTAATAAACATCAAGTAATATGAGAATTATATACTGTTCCATCCTATGTATTGCAAAATGCTGTATTAACATATTAACAGCAATAGCTTTAGTTATGAGACATGCATCCTTGTTTTACATGAAAAAGTATCAATATTTCAGTTTTATCTTTTGATTAACATCACTCCATCTTACTCAAGGTTATCAGTGTTTGCCTAAGAGATAGATCATCATTTTTAGTTCAAAGTGGGTTTGTAGACTCTCTATTCATGAAGTCCTCTTTAATTAGGTTGTGTATTTGAAATAAATATGTTGCAAAATGAAAGAAATGAAAAGGTACTTTAAGTTCACTACCAACAAAATTATCCAGGCTTGTTTAGTAATATGAACTGCTGAGCACTTCCATTGGAAAAACTAATTTTATGGAAAGACTTCACAAAGTGTAGATTTAACAAAAACCAAGTGAAGCTATATTAATCTTTCTGAAAACAATCTCTTCTTAATACAGTGTAACCTCTTCTCAACCTGTTTGGCAACCAAATATGTCCTGCTTCCTAGTCCTGCAAAGGAGAATAAATTAGTCAGTGTCATTAAAAAAAACCTGTTTCTCATTTATTCTAATATGATTCTAAATATCATCAGAAAAATGAAATGATTTTCTCTACCTCCTGCACTAGCAAAGTCAACAGCTATCTCAGCAAAAAGACTAGTGTGGCTGCCTGCCATGAGGTTCTACAGAGGGTGAAACTGTCATAAAAAAAGAAATGGAAAATACAATTCATCATCGGCAACATGGTTGAATACACAGAAACCCCATCAGATTTTTTAAAATCTAAGAGCTCAAGCCTGGATGAATAGGTCTGTCAGATTCTCGTATTCCCACTTTAAAAAGACCACTTTTATTTCTATTTTGAAGCTATTTATGAATTTCAGTAAAGTTTTATCAAAAACAAAGGAAATAAAAATTTCACCTATCCCCTATACTCTTCCTGGAAATTGCAGCAAAATTGTCATAGGAAAAGCACCATGAATCCATTCCCACAGAATTCCAAACTGCATCTTTATATCATATTTATTTATTTACAGGACTTCTAAGGTTGCCTGTTCCAGTGGCTCTAGGCAGCTCACAACAATCCATAACAATGTAATTAAAAACAAAAGTAACCTTCCCCCCAGATTCCAGATCAATTGTCCTCACATTTCAACCCCCATCCCTGCCTAATGCTTGGGGGGGGACCAGGTGTTTAAAGCCCTCTGGATTTGGCTGCAGGGGATACGGACAAGTGAATTCTGAAATATTTTTAAAAGCCCCTTTCTGTGGAATACAGTTTGCAATACAGTAACAGGCTAGAATAGCAGCGGTATTCTTCCAATTTGGAATTATGTACACTTTTTTTTATTTTGGCATCTTACAATTAGGATTTCAAGCTATTTTTTTCTCATTTAATTAACTCACATAGTCTACTAGTATACAAAATGATTAAATAGAAATAGGAAGTTAATGGCCTAGTACAGAGCGCCAGAGTTGACTGAGTCTTCATTGTTAAAATGCTGTTTACTTTATTCTTGGTTGATTACAGGGAAGTATAGTGTAGGATAAAGCTCTTAGTTACTTTGGTCTGGGACAATTTTCTGAGTGAAATGGCAGACTCTGCATAAATTCCTATTTTGAAGCTATGGCGAGCCCCACTCTCTGTGTGTGCGAGAGAGAGAAGGGGGTGGTGGTAAGAAAGATACTTCCAAAATTATTATCTCAGCACAAACACATATTGTAAATTATAGACAGATCAAATGATAGGATTCTTGCTTGATGAGTCTGTTGATCTCTTGGCCATTCAATATTTCAGTTTAAAGAGAAAAAGAACAGATGTCCATTCTCTTATGCAGAGAAAGCCAAAGTGGCCATGAAGAATAGTATCCAGAGGAGGATGGGTGACTGGTATCTATGAGAGGGCTCAAAAAAGGCAAGACAGCAGCAAGATCGAAATAGAGTTTTGACTGTGCTGCTGCAATCACCATCTTGTCTTTTCTGACAGCCCCACCAGCACCTCTCATGGACACTGGTAGAGGGGGTGTTTTTGCACAGGCTGATTGACCTAATGGAGTTGGGAAGATCACCATTTCCAATTGGGTCATCTCCAGGCTTCTCCTGGGTACTCTAGATTGTCTACATGGGACGTTTTCTGTTAGGAGAATAAAAACACTGCTTTCAAACTGGAACAACTGAGGACTATCTAAGGCAGAGGTCTTCAAACTTGGCAACTTTAAGACTTGTGGACTTCAACTTCCAGAATTCTCCAGCCAGTGTAGCTGAAGTTGGAGTTGAGGTCCACAAGTCTTAAAGTTGCCAAGTTTGAAGACCTCTGCCTTAGATAGTCCTCAGT